CGGTGCCCCGCGCGGAGCGTGCCAGCCCAGGGCGGCGGTTCAGACCGTCGAGCGCTGGTTTTCGGGGCGGCCTGGCGGCGGACGGGCGGGCTGGAGGGAATCGGGGGGCCCGGGCCTGGGCACCCCGACCCTCATCAGTAACGACTTGAGTCCGCCATTCAGGTGGGGGGTCATGTACCTTTGTAGATTGTGGGCGTTATGGAAATGAGCGGGACGGAACACAAGCGACGGGAGGGAAATCAGGGTCAGGCGCTTGGCGGTTCACAACCGCTCGTCGTCAATCACCTGGCGACGCGGGCGCCGGCGGACAGGCGGCCGAGCGCCTCGGATCGTATCGCGGGGTGACCCACGTGCCGTGCCGTTCGCCCACTTGAAGGGAACAGGGGTTTCTAGTAAATGGACCCGGTTACAAACTGGATTAGCTCTGGGGTCCGGCGATCCCGGGGTTCGACGCTGAGTATGTCCGTGCTTTGTTTTAGCTTCGTCGTGGATGGAAAGTTACCCCCGGAGAACATGTACATCCAAAGGGAAGAAGGGAATTCCTGCTGGCAGTTACTAAGTCAGACTCATGAAAAGATCTGACTTACGGTTTTTGTTAAAATTCCATCTCCTGCTGTCCAAGAGTTGGTCTGGCAAACCAGCCGGAACGGGTTACATTTTTACACTTAGGACAATGGGCCCCAAACCAACGGAAACATTTCACTTGAAAGGTTGACTATGTTGCCCTCCCTCCTCCCCCCTCCACACACGCGCTTCTGTGGCCCGCTAGAGACAGTGTGTTTGGCAACAAAAATCGCATCCAAATGGAAATATCCCCAAATATACTTACAGATGCAAGAGTTATATCTAGCTTGTAACTATATCGTTGCTTTAGATTTTCACTGGCTCACAATGAAACCAGTTTTAGAAACCACCGCTCTGCAAGCTCCCAGAAGAGTGAGTCTACTTCTCTGGGCCGAGGCTGGTGGGGGGGAGCGGGGACACCAGCTGAGCAGCAGCCCAGCGGAGCAAACTCGGAGGCTGCACGCACCCCAGCTTTGGGGTGCTCGGCGAGGGACCTGAGCAGCCCTGCTCTGGGGTCTCCGCTGTGGCCTCTCTCCCGGGTGCTTTATCACCTTCATTCTCTCATCCCAGCAGGCAGGCAATTAATGCAAAAGAGAAATAAAGTCAGCAGTCTGGTGTGGAGGAGTCTGGACTTGGGCAGGTGGCCTGGGGTGCGTGCTCAAGCGGAGACCAGCAGTGCAAGTGGGAGGGAGCCAGGAAAAGAAACGGGGAGAGGAATTTCCAGCAAAGGGGGCATCCTACGGGAAGGCCGGTGTTCAGGGTAGCTGGGGGACGGGTGAGACCTGTTGTACTCGGGGAGGGATCTGGCTGTAAGTGATAGCGGGGAGGACAGCCACGCCCCGGCCCAACTGGTGACTGTCCCTGGAACAGCCCTGGGCTGCCGGTCAAGAGCGTGAGTTCTGCAGAGGACTTGACCTGGGCTGCTACCCCAGGGGCCTTGGGCTAGTTCTTTAATCCCGTTTCCTAATGGAGACCGTAAGAGTATGGACATCATAGGGCGGTGATGAGGGTCACATTAACTAATGCGTGTAAAGAGTTTAGCTCGGTGTCTGGCTTATGGTATTCAATAAATATTGGCTATTTTTACCCCTGACCACGGTGGTCATTGTTTTTCAGCTTCCGAAAGGCTCAGGTTGAAGATTCAGTTCTGCCAGAGAAAACCTGAAGGATCACGTGGCCCCAGTGATTAGGATCATCCTCCGACCTCAGCGGGGCTGAAATCTAAAACCCGCACTTTCTGAAAATCTCGGCCCCACCGCTCACTGCAGCGGGTGCTCTGCCACCTGCTCCTACTTTCTGCAGAATTCAGGCAGCGCACAGGTCAGACCTCAGCCTCCCCCACCACGCCCTCAGTCACAGGCAGCCATTCCTTCCTGCCTCCCTTTTAATATTAGGAAGACGCCCTTCCTTCAGTGGGAAGATAACCTCGCCACCTGGTTCCGTAAGCAGCCCCTCTAGGGATGGCCTCCCACTGAGTATTTTTTTTCCTTCCCGGGACTTCTTCTCTCTCTGGCTCCTCCTCAGCAGTGAAACATTCTCAGGTCTCTTCCACCTGTTGCTGTGTCATCAAATTTGCTGACCTTGATCTTCTATCAACTCTGCTGTTAAACCCAATTCAGTATATTTTTTCATCTCAGACATTGTAGTTTTCATCTCTCGGATTTTCAATGGGATCCTTTTAAAGAATATATTTCATGTCTCTAACATACCAATGCTTTTCCCTACCTTCTTGGACATAGAAAATGTGATTTTAGCCTAGCGGGTGTGCTTAGTGGTTGAGCACCAACTTAGGATCCAGGCGATCAGGGTTCGATTTCCGGTCAGGGCACGTGCCTCGGTTTAGGGCTCTATCCCCAGCGGGGGGCTTGCAGGAGGCAGCTGATCAATGGCTCTTCTCTCATCATTGATGTTTCTATCTCTCTCTCCCTCTCCCTTCCTCTCTCTGAAATCAATAAAGGCATATTACAAAGAAAATGTGATTTTTATTAACTGTTAATGTCCCAACCTATCGTTTTCTATTATTTCATCCCTTGTTTCTATTAATTTACTTTTCCTCTAGGGATGGGTTGTATTTTCCTGCCTCTCTGCATGAACTCTTTGATCGTGTGCCAGACACTGTGCCTTTGACGTTGCTGAGTGCTCGAAATGTCTGAATCCCTGTAAATACGGTCAAGTTTTGTTCTGAGATGCAGTTAAGTTACATGGAGAGAGTTTGGCCCTTTTGACGCTGGCTTTTGTTAGACAGGGCCAGACAAATATTTCATGTGGGGCTAAATTCGCCCCACTTTTGAGGTAATGTCCTTGTGATTCTCCGTGAATTAGGAGATTTTCCACTCTGGCTGGTGAACTCTTCCCACCCTGTATGAGCCCCAGGGACTGATCCTTCCTCTGTGTGTGTGTGTGTGTGTGTGTGTGTGTGTGTGTGTGTGTGTTTCTTTCTCCGGCCTCGAGTTTCCTTACAACAAATGCTCCAATCAGCATTCAGCCAGATGCTCCAGGGGACCCTCTGTGGATCTCCAGGCCTCGCTCTCCGGCCGTCCTGCGCCCCCAGGACGCCAGCTGCCGCACCCCTTCTGGACTCCCCATTCCCCTCCCCTCCCGCAGGGCTCTGGGTTCCCCCCTGTCTGTGCCCAGGCCTGGCGCGTTTCTCCCGGAAGGCGGGTTGGGCAGTCGTAGATCTTATCTCATTTTTCTCAGGATCCCTGCCCTGATATTTAACAACAGATAATACGTATTATGTCGTAGCTAATATATTACATATAAATATTCTGCCAGAAGAAGGTGTCCATGATGGACTGTCTTTAGATCCTTTCTCCACTTTTCCTGCCCTCTCCTTATTAGTGGAAAGCTGTGGTTCCTTGATTGACCCCTTGATGTCTCTCAGTCTGTCCTCTCTTGTTTTTCTCTTTGTATTTTTGCCCCCGATTATGAAGAATTTACTTGACCTTTAATGAAATTTTTATTTCTGAAATTACGTGTTCAATTTTCAGAAGCGCCTTCTTATTCCGGTCGCTCCCGTTTTACGAAGCATCGTTTTAAAGATGCACTAACGTCTCAGCCCTTTAGGGCTCTGTCCCTGTGTGACGGTCCCTTCTTTTCAACATTCTTTCCTTCAAGCGTAAACTCCGTCTGTCTCCTCGTCCGTGTTTCCCTTGCATGCTGCTAGCATTCCTCTCTGCCCCGTCAACTTCAGGTGCCCATCATATTTAAAAGATCAAAGGTTTTGTGTGTGTTTTTTAAATTTGATTTCAAAAAGCATCTAAAATGATTCTGGAGCATCGTAGCCGATGCCTTACTTAGCAGAACAAGCTGTCCTGGGTTGAAGGTCATGAACCCACCAGAGCACGCTCCTCTCCGAGCCGCCGAGACCACAGGATCCTGAGGGAGCCTCAGGCCTCCTGCTGGGAGAGAACCCAGCGAAGACAGATGGTAAAGGGGCCGAAAGCCGATACCCTTCCCACGGCCCCTCGCACCCAGAGCTCCACTCTCCTCTCTCCGGGCGTTCGCTGAGAGAGTGGCTATGAGGGTAATTTCCACTCCCGCGCTTCCTCTAATGGCTTTGATCCCTTTGCAGGAGGAACCGAGACACCAGAATGGGACAGATTTGTTTTTAGGCCGTTAAACCACAATGGACGCAGCCTGCGAGGCCAGCTGGTGTGTGTGGGTCCAGCCGTCATAAACCAGCTCTCCTGCAGGTGCCAGGGTTTCATATCCATGCATCTCCACCGCGAGTCAGGGTACGTTCTTACTTCTGCAAAAGTAGAAAGTCCCAATAACAGAAATCGGCACATTTTGTACTCACTTGTCAAAGGGGAGTGGTTCTCAAACTTTCGTGTGCATCAGAGGGCTTGTTAAAACAGATTAAAAACAGGCTTCACCCCTAGAGCTTCTGATCCAGGGTCGGGGTGGGACCAGAGAGTTTGTGTTTCTCAGAACTTTCCTGTAACTCTTGGATAAGGCGATCACTCTTACCAGCCAGCTCAGATGATTCTGTCTTAACAGCCTGTCTTCCTTCCATGGAATCCCCTGATAGGACCTATGTGGATCCACATGATTGTATTGTATCTGGTAGACTGTCAGTTACTATGTACCAGATTCTAAATATTTAGAATTTTTTACTGATACAGTTACCCTCAGGCTAGCTTATTCCATGTTAGCAGTTCTCTCACCCCAGTAAAATATTAATGTACTTCACTTAGATTTATTTATCTATTTATTTATTTACTTCATTCGGTTTTAAACACAATTAGCAATGTCATTTTTTCCCAGTGCAACAATGAACATACAGCGCAAATACAGTGCCATTTCTGTCAAAAGTAAGGAGGGTTCCAATCTTTCAGGACACTCCACACACGCACAGTGATAATGCTTTGAAGGCAAAACACCCATTTCTCCCGTGACTCTGAGAACAAGGTCCCCTGAGGAGCCTGTGGGCCGGGAAATGGAAAATGGATGGCAGTGTGGGGCAGAGAGAGGAGGGAAGACCTCAGTGCGAGGCCATGGCAGAGGGGGCAGCCAGGAGGGCCCCTGCAGAGCCTCACTGCACGTGGAGGAGACCCAGGGGGTCCAGGCAGGCAGGGAAAGGGTGAGCAGGGGGGCAGGGGGGC